CAAGCAAAGAAAAGAAATACTCAGACCATCCTCTTGAAGAAGCTTCTAAATCTCAGTTGATGGAGCCACTCTACACAATAAAAAACCTTATTATTCCTATAAGAACAAGCTAGATTATCTAGACCATCTGCAACTCTGTTATCTTCCTAGAGAGTGTGTTCAAAAATTAGTTCCATTAAAATAGAAGTTGTTCCGCTTGATGCCACCAATACCACAGGTGCCACAGAGTATACACAAATCTTGTTATAATATTTAGCAAAGCTTGTGAAACCATAGCCACCACTAATCTTTGAAAACCCATAGCATAGGCTAGTTGAAGACCATCTAGTAAAGCCAAAGCTGCAACAACTAAGTTTGAGGCATTATCATAGTAAGAAGATAAGGCCATTAGCATAGCATTCTTACCATCTCGAATCAGACATCCACCTCCACTAAATCTTGGACTTCCTTTCAAAGCTTCATTAATGTGAAGCTTAAGAAAGCCCTGTTGAGGAGGTTGCAAGTAGACCAACCTCACATGTTGAGCCAAGGAGCTTGTTGCCTTAAACCCAAAATGTCTATGGTAAGCTTTTGGGTAGGGGAGAGAAAGTAGTTCTTGATAGAGGAAGGGAAAACGGTTTCCTAAAGCCACCAAACAACTTTCCTATACTTCCCATCCATTTTCCTTCTATTCTACTCTTTCCATATTTCTATTTCCTTTCTATAGTTGCACATTGAGACAAAACTAGGTTGTTTCTCTTTTAACGACACTACATTCTTGACCTTTTTAGAAGACCAATCTTGTAGCTTCTGCCTTTGTCTACCCAAGGAATCTACATCAAGATTGTCCAATTTTTAAGGCAATCCCCTCTCAGATCCAACTCAACAATACAACATTTTTGGTGCCACGCAGTATGCTACCTTGACTAGACCAAATGTAGCATTTGTAGTGAACAAGGCCTATCAATTTCTCCAAAATCCTACTGATAATCATTGGATAGCTGTCAAGCATATTTTGTGTTATTTGAAAGGTATGTTTGACTTTGGGTTATTATTTGATGCTCAATCTTCTACTGTGCTTGTGGCATACTTTGGTGTTGATTGGGCTGATTACCTTGATGAATGCCTCTCTACTGGTGACTATGGTATTTTTCTTGGTTCTCATTTGATCTCATTGAGTACTAATAAACAACCTACTATTGCTCATTTTAGAATTGAAGATGAATTTCAATCATTGGCTAACACTACAACTAAATTGTTATAGCTTCAATATCTCTTATGTGATATAGGGGTTCCTTAGCACTCTACACCTATTATCTATTGTGACAACATTGGTGTCATGTATCTTGCTACACATTTGGTGTTTCATGTTCGTACCAAAGCACATCGAAGTTGACTTTCATATTTTGCAAGATTTCATTCTTCAAAAATCTCTAGTAGTGAAATATCTACCCACTAATGACAAAATTGTTGATACAAAGCCTTTCTTATCTACTCATTTTTCCAACCACAATACTTGTCACATTGCCAATAGGCAGGGGTGGAGCCAGGGGGTGACAGAGGGGAGCCATGGCCGCCTCTATGCCTTCAAAATTCCTTTTAAATCTATTTAAGTTCCACTTGTATTTTAGCCCATTTATTCATGTTTCCTAGTTTTTGGCCCCCTATCCATGTTTTCTAAGTTTTGGCCCCCTCAATAAAAAATCCTAGCTTTGCCCTATCAATAGGTACCTCACCTTGCCAATCTGTCCAAAGAGACGTAATACCGCTCATGGTGTGCTTTCGCTTGAAGCATGGACAAGCACAGGCCCACTCAGATACCTTGTGCTGAAATTTATTTAAATAATTATAATGGGGGTAATAAGGTTAGAACACTAGATCACTTGGTCTAGCAGGCTCTAATACCATCTCAAGGAACCATTCAACACAAAAGCTTAAGCCCTTAGGTGAGGTCATTGAATAAGTTTTTGTTCTCTAACACATTGTACATGCCTTTGTTTGTAGCAAATCCCAACTCATTTTGGTATCATGTTGGAACCTATTGGTTTACCTACTAGTAGGGTCCAGACACCTTAGCATCAAAATGAACATTACATTCTAGGCCTGTTCTTATACGCTTGGAGGTATCCTTTCATTGAGGGTGTAGGGATCTTGCACATAGGTAACCAGCAGATCTGGAGTGTTTTGGTATCATGGTGTTTGGCTGCAAAACAGATCAAATTGAATTTGGATAGGGGTAAGTTGGAATCTGATCCAATAAGTATTCAAAGAAACACAAATTTGATTCATTATTTGGGGGATATGTAAAACATAGATCTGAATTCAATTGGTTCATGTATTCAGGTTTCCAATTCGAATTTGGTTCAATCAGAATATAAGTTTGTAAAAAATCAGCATAAATTTATTAATTAAATATGAAATAAAAATATACACTATAAATTGAAAAAGTAGACCTAAATCCCAAATTCTACTTAATTCTTAAGAATTCTAATATAAAAAAAAATGATATTTTATATATGTATATAGATATTAATCAAATTATATTAGATCAAGCAATATCCAAATTCTCCTTACTAATAAATAGATCATTTTTAAAATCTGATTGGTCTAATTAATGGATAAATGGCTATCTGAACTTGACTCAAATTGAATTAAAGTAACCAATTAATGGTGTCTCAATTGATAAGTTCTCTGGCTCGTTGTAGCAGACATTTGGGATCAAATACCCCATTGTTTAGCACCATGAAGCCACTAGAAAAACCAAACTTTGAATTAAATCCGACCCATTCGTGTTTTGCTGCCTTAATCAAATTAGAAAATTTCGCGTTTAACCATTTGATGCCATGGAGTAAAATGAAGCAGGAATGCTCCTAAGATGTAAGAACTAAGGCCCCGTTTGGTTTGCAGGAATAGGGGTCTAGAATCGGAATCAGAATGGACTATTCTTATTCCAACTGTTTGGTTGGATGGAATTGGAATCTCATCCCCATTCCTGTTGGAATGGCATTCTCCCATTTGAGAGAATGGCCATTCCCTGCCCCTCCTTTAGGAATGAAATCTCATTCCTACTGATTTTAATTCTCATTCCCATTTCTATATGAACCAAACAGACTATGGGAATGGACCATTCCAATTCCGATTACGACTACAAACCAAATGGACCCTAAGAACCATCATATCTTGCAAAATCCTCACACCCAGAAAATTAGTTGTGTTCTCATTTCAACATAAATTAGTTCGAATAAATACCATATTTAAGACATTTGTATCAAATCACGTATATGGTAGTTTGAGAAATTTATTGTTTTAAAAACTGATTCAGAGGCCCAATTGTTTTTGCCTCTAGGTCGCAAGTCACTGGTTTGATCATCTAGGTCAAACAGGGAATGGGTTAGACTATTTTTATATTTTATTTATATGTATATACGTATATGGCATTTGAGGCTCAAAAAAAGGTTTTTCTTGGCAAAAATAATGGGACAAGGTGACTTAGAACAGAGTCCGGATCTCCTGCCCACGAGAACTCTGCCCACATTTATCTCAGCCATTCATGGAGAACATCTCATCCTCTGCATAATATTATGTAGGGAGAGATGTTCCCAATTCACGGGGGGTAGTATATTGTGGTTAGGCGCGAGTAGAGTTCTCGTGGGCAGGAGATCTGGAGTCCTTAGAGCAGTAGATCTTAGAAAATTACCCAAAATCAACATAAAGATTACCCCAATTGAACAACCAAATGCAAAATTATGGACTCTGGTAGTTTATACATACATATAGTGTATAACCCATGACCCGATGATCGGGTTGAATGGGTAAGCAATACAATTGCCCAGGTCGAACATGTATTGACCAAGCCAACTGTTTATGTCAAATCCTGGGTTTTGGAAAAACCGGACCCGGAATCAGAGTTGGGTGACAATTCGAACAGCTTGACCATCTGGGTCAATGGTGGGTTGAAAACACTAAACTAGACACTTTCCACCTTTGCAATAGGATGTATATCATTAAAGGTTCAAAATATTGATACGCCCGATATGCCAGTAGGGGCGTATCGGGCGTTTCGATACTTGTTTTTTTACTTTTTTTTATTTTTTTTCAAAACTGGTTCAAGGGAGCCGGTTTAGGACCCCTCCATCCCCTGAACCGGTCAGACCCCCGATACACCCACTATAAGGGTGTATCAGAAAGGTCCTAGAACAATACATATCGGCCGATACGTAACAATACTTTGAACCTTAGATATCATTTACTACAGGATGGATGCCCATAGATTGGCCATGAATCATTTTCTCAGTGGGTACCCTGAAGATATCAAGTTATCCACCAAAAGAAATATAAATAAATAAAGTATGCTAGAGAGAACAAGATGAAAAAAGTTGACTCGCATCGTCTGCTGGCTTCAATTTTTTAGCTTTGAAAAAAGGCACTGTCTATTTTGGGAACATTACAATTTACAAGGTGGGTTTTCCTTGACAATTTCTTGTGTTTATCGATGATGAACGATGATCAATATTGTTCTTATGTATGCCAGGGGTGCAACTTGGGTGGATTGGTCAGGTTGAGGGTCAACCTAGGCCCAACCTTAAGGTTTAGACGTAGGGTTCCTTTACCCAAACAAAGAAAAGAAAGACCTAAGGCTCGGTCTCAACTTGGATGGGTTGCGTAAAATCAAAAGTCAAAACACCTAACATGGTGATGACTGATGACATGGTGTTTCAGGAAACAACCACAGAACCAAACATATACTAGGTAAGCCTGAGTTTTCAGACCTAGGCCCAGCCCATAGCTTACAAAACACAAGTGAAACCTAGTGTTTTGATTCTTTTGAACCATGCAATCCACTTGAGGGTGTTTTGTAGCCTTTTGGTGTGTTTGCAAACACTAGGCCTCATTGTTCCTAAAATGAAATTTGGTGTTCTGAACCATTAAAAGGATGTTTTCGACATATTTTTTTTTGGTTTCAAAAGGAGTTGTAAAACAAACACAACCTATGTATCAAACCCCCTTATTGGGCCTTAAAATGAAACATAGAACAGGCTAATCAGCAGTTATTTTCATGAACTTTCAAGGTTCAAAACATCTTATCAGGTGTTGTGGAAAAGGAAACCAAATTACAGACAGATATCAAGAAGACCCAATTTACTTGTTTATACAAACTCCACCGACATTCATGAATTTAAAGAATGATGGATTACCATCATTTCAATTGAATCAATCTTCCCTAGCTTCCCCATAATGATAATCCTAGTTTACCTGTCTATGAAAATTCAACCAAACAGAATGATTGATTTACAGTATTTCAATTCAATTGATCTTTCCTGAATCCACCAACATGATAGTTTTTTTTTTTTTGGATCAATACCACCAACATGATAGTTCTGACAAAAAAATGAAATATATGATGTGATTCAAGAATCGCTATACTCTGTTAAAGTCGGCATTTGTCTTCCTGACAAAAAGGCCTTGATCAATGAAAGAGCGAGTTTGGGTTTATGCAAAGGGACCTCATGACCTGCTCCTCTAACTGATACAAAGTTGAGACCTACATACTGTTGGGTCCATCCTCCCACCTGTAACACAATGGAATAATGTTTTAGCAATTAGCTTGCAAATTCCAGTAACACAAAAACCACGAGTTTGAAATTCCTCATGCTTAATGGTAATTTAAAGGTATATAGTATATACTAAAGATAAAAGAGTGTATTCTATGATTACCTGCTTTTATCTTTCTCCTAAAATATCAATAAACATTTCTAATGCTTTCAACGTGTTTCCACAATTAAAAGAGTGATTTGAAACTTCAATGGTTTCCCTATAAGTGATTGACATTTCTGCTCATTTTTTAACCTTGTTGCTAATCCCAAAGACATGGCAATGTTCCAGATGCAGGTAAATGAGAGCTTTCAAAAACATATTGATTTTGTTACCAAGGAATATTCACCATTGAATCTGTTGAGTGTTATGATCCTAGTATAATGGGGGAGAAACAAAGAAAGAAAAGCAATTGAAACAGCGAATACCTGTCCCTCATCATACCAAGCGCGCCAAGGACCAATCGTTGGAAGCTTAAGGGCATCTATGCTGTACCGGGTTGATGTAACTGGGATTACAGCATCTGTATCTCCACTGCCACAGCAGAAGGGAATGAAGAACACATTATCAACACACAATTATAACTTCAACTGGTCTGTAAGAACACTTAACCTAAATATTTAGTCCAGCTAAGGAAAATTCACTTATAAACAAATGCTTTAAATAATGAAAAGGTATATAGAAATTCTTTCTATTTTAGGTTTTTTAGTTTTTTCAATAAGATGGGCATTACATGGAAGGATTTTGCATTGGTTTTTAAATCTGATTGACAATATATAAAGTATGTAGATATTATAATATAGTACATAAGTGAACATGAAAGTGGCTGGTTGTAATGTAAGTTAATAGTTTTCAAGACGCCAAGGCGAGGCTAAGCGATTGAGGGGCGCCTTGTTGCCTAGTCGCCTAGGCAATGGATTTTTTTATGTTAAAAACATAGACCCTAGGGTAGTTCCCTAACCATATTTCATTAATAATTATTCATTATTTTCATAAGAAAAGTATAAATTTCATAATAAAGTATAGAAAATCAACATATTCATGAGAAGAAAAGGGAGAAGGAAAATAAAATTCAAAAAATATAGGGGTTGAACCCTTATTTTTGTTATAGGAAAAGAAGAAAATAAAAAGTATTGGTAGTAGTAGTAGAAGAAAAATATATGGAAGAGGAAAATGTGCTGATTAGATAAAATTTTAAGTTCTTCCTTACTTATTGGTGCAGGTTTTTAAGTCTTTGAGGGTTCAATACAGCATTTAGCAATGTTAGTGTTGTTTAAACCCTAATAAATAAGAAAATAATAAGAAGAAATTAGTGTGTAAACACACAAAATGATTATTTTAGTTTAATAATGTCTATTTTATAATTATAATCTCAAAAAAGAACAAATAAAAATTTATTTTATAGTAGGAAGTAGAAACTGCTTGGCGAGGTGAGGCGAGCTTCAAAGGGCGCCTTGTCGCCTAGGCGTCACCTTGTCAACTATGTGTAAGTGAATTAAAGAGGTTAATTGGTACCTTAATCATCTTAATGCAAAGCCTCAGCCTATGTTAAACTATAATAAGAAGAAATAAAGTTTCATGTTCATAGGCACCTGAATATCCAAATACGAAGCCCTGCACCTATAAGCTCATGATAAATGTCCAGCACTGTCTTAGGAGAGTCCTTCCAATTTTCATTAACCACATCACTGCAATAAAGCAAAGGTTGCAGAATGTCAAAATAATGTACCTCTGTTATCGTACAGACACAACTTCATCTATCAAGGTGGTCAAAATTGCAGGAAATGTTGTTATCCAAGAGACTTGCACGATGTCAAATCCCATGTATCCACTGCATAATGCTAGAGAATCCTTATTATATAATCATCCACAAATAATTTTTTTTTTTGAAAAATTAATGCATTATGATAAAGATCATAGCTTGTTTGATGAGATCTATGTTGCGCTAGTTGCTATATTTGGGGTCCCTTGTGTTATGCTTGACAGGATTTTGGACCATATCCACCTGTGGCCATGTAAAAGACTAGACATGAAACATGTTTTATGGATAGCAGTCTATTTCACAATGCTTTATATTTAAGGAAAGAAGATGCAAAAACTTTTTTAATTGGGGTGGATCTAGATTTCGTGAAGCCATGGTTAGCAAGGTATGAAGGCAACACATTCTGTCTCCTCAATCATGAATTTATGTGTATCTTCTATTGTTCTGCTTTTGCTAATTGATAGTCCATTATTCATAGTCATCCATGGTGTTTCTGTATAGTTCCCTTCATTGTGTGCCTTTGAGAATGGGTGTCATACATCTTTTCTTGTTTGGTTTCCTTGCATTTAATATGATCCATAGTTCATACTTCTAAAGATATGAAGATAAGACAATATGGATGTAAGTATGCATACCATATAATAAGTCACACCAGTTGTTTAAGGCCCAAAACATAAAAGATTGAATGCCCTTTCTTCTATTGATACCTAGTTGAATGACCATAGCCATGCAATAGATATGCACTGTTTGATGCCTTTTTCTTTTCTTCTTCTTCTTAGTTATCATAGAGAACTCCATTATATTACTATATCTTTGTCAAACATATAAAGAAATTAAACATAGAGTGTTGAGCTTGTTTTACACATACAGTCCCAAGTCCAGATAGAGTGTTGGGTTGGGTCGGCAACAAAATTGAAAACCTTTTTCCAGACTCCAGAAAATATGGATCCAGAATTTTCATTTCATTCTCATGCTAGGGCATTCTGAACAGAGAGGAATGGCGGAACAGGATTCATCTAACCAACTCCATATAGTTGGGACAAGGCTTAGTTGAGTTGGGTTGAGAACTCCGTTATAGATTTCTTCAACACGTGGAGGTGGTGGTTGTAACAGTTTTGAGTGAACTCTTCCATGTAATAATACCTGCAAGTTTCCTATAAACATGGTTTTTGAATTTTCATTTCATTCTCATGCTAGGGCATTCTGAACAGAGAGGAATGACGGAACAGGATTCATGTAACCAACCCCATATAGTTGGGACAAGGCTAAGTTGAATTGGGTTGAGAAATCCATTATAGATTTCTTCAACACATGGAGGTGGTGGTTGTAACAGTTTTGAGAGAACTCTTCCATATAATAATACCTGCAAGTTTCCTATAAACATGGTTTTTGAATTTTCATTTCATTCTCATGCTAGGGCATTCTGAACAGACTGGAATAGCAGAACAGGATTCATGTAGCTGAGACAAGGCTTAGTTGAGTTGAGTTGAGTTGAGAACTCCTTTATGGATTTCATCAATAAATAGAGGTGGTGGTTATCACAGTTTAGAGATAACTCTTCCATATAAAAGTACCTGCAAGTTTCCCATTTAGTTGGTGCAACTTCGGGGTGGACATGAAGTGCCTTTTGAACCTCAGGTAAATTGAAGTATACAGTGGAGTGCTTCTCAGTGCATGGATCATACTTTTCACTGATCCGACCAGCCTTTGATCAAATAGAAATACTACTAGTTAATGATCCAATGCAAATAGTTCAAATATTAGAGATGCAAAATATATTTTCAAAGAAACAAAATAGGAAGGAAAAGAAAACTGAAGAAGAAACATTATATTCTTTATTTCATCCAAGAAATACCTAACATAAAAAATATTCATTGCAATGGAAACAAAAGCAATTTCTGGACAAAGAATGCTGAATGCAATGAGTACTTACACGCAGTCTTTTCATCAATCTATGTGATAAGCTAGAATTACTAGTGCAGGTAGGGGTGAAAATGCTATATAGATCAATGTTTCCAATTTCATTGTTGGCAATCTCTAGAATATTCTCACACTGTTTTGAAGTGTGAATGAATGACTGAAAGTCACAGAAAAGGTTCAGCTGCTTGTAGGTTTGGTCAGAAATCAAACCAGCAGACCACATAAACTGAAAAACCCCCATGTGATCAGTAAAATCATCAGTTAGAGCATTTCCCACCTGCATTATAGAGATCAATAATTTGTTTAGTCCGTGTAATTAAGTACACAGTGGCTTGGCTCTTCTTCCAGGAATAAATGGAAAAACTCCTTACCATATACCCCTTTAGATTGATTGATTTATCCTCTGTCGGACAGTGATATCTCACAATGGCTTGGGCAAGCTGAGGAACATAGTGACCTAGAACAAGGTTTTAATAGTAATATCAATTTTTATATAAAAAGGCATGCATCATGAGCAGTAATACTGATTTCTATGTCATCTATTGGAAACTAAAATAAGGCCAAATGTGAAAATGCCCCAAAGCCTGAAATTTCATGCCTCTAAACCAATCTATCTATGGTCCAACAAAAATTGCATCTATTTCACGGATATGTGTAAAATAATTCAGCGGGCCCTCCTACACTATGCCAAATAGATATGTAGGCATAAATTTGGCTCTGCAATAGATTAATATATTAAAATGTTGTCAGATGCAGATTGGATACAAAGTTAGAATGCCTATTGAGTCATGGGTCAAGCAGTCTGACCACTAAGGTTGACGCAGATACATGACAACATAAAAAATAATATACAAATAATATAAAAAATATAACTAACAACAGAGAAGGCCATCTACAGCACCAGTAAGAAGTAACCTGTTACAATACAATGAAGGGGCTAGAGGAGCCAGGGGCAGAACAAAAAGGACATGAGTTGAAGTAGTAAAGAATGATTTAAGGGTTCATAATTTAACAATGGATGTGGCACTGAACAGAATTGAGTGGCAGAGCAGGATCCATGAAGCTGAACCCATATAGTTAGGATAAGACTTAGATGATGATGACGATATAAAATATAATTAATAATATATTGTGCTCTTATGGTGTTTACTTAAACCTCCAAACAAGAGACGTAGGTTCAAACCTATTTTACAGCATTTTTTAATAAACGAATGTATTTTATCTAATATATAATTGTTGAACAACCAATTTGCATGAATCCAAGTTGTAGCCCAGTTATCTCTTCCTTGATTTCCATACAAATTACTCATGTTGGAACCATGTAGCCTTCATCTTTTGTAAATATGAAGCTTGTCAAACCTAGACAGTTCCAAAACCACTTATTTCAATTGTGGACAAACTGGGTTTTAGAATATCAATGGAAACTGGGGTCTCTAAGAACCAGAGTCTTTACCAGGTCATAACCTGTCCAGTCTGATCCCAGCTTAACAATACTGATAAATTGCTCTTTACCTGCATAGCTTTCTCCAGTGATATAGAAGTCCCGCCCTTTATATTGAGGAAACCGCTCAAACCATTTCAATAAAAACATTAATGAATCCTCAGCTGTGAAGCAAAAAATACTGGAAATAAATATATAAACTCATAATCAGATAGATTTCAAAGAAGGTATAAGAAGTATAAAGCAATACAAGGAAATACCTGTCCTTTTATCTCCATTGTTTAGCACATCAAGGGAATTGTTTGAATAAGAAAAACCAACACCGACTGGTGATTCCAGAAATAGGACATTGGCCACTGCAAATTAAAAAAAAAAACAATTAAACATAACTTTGTTTCGAAAGTAGATAGAATTTCTAACAAGATTTGGAATTATTGCAAGTAACTAAAGCACCATTAGTAAATGTAATTTATTTGAGGAGCATTAACCAAACAGTAAAAACTACTTCATGAAGCACTTTCTGTTCTCTTGGGTTCAATAGAAAAGGAACATGTCATTTTCAGACAGATTAACAAGCTTGATTTGGAAAGAAGAAACTATAGAAGAGAAGAATGTATGCATTGTCCTTTACAGCACAAACTAAATACCTTGGATAAGCAACGATCTTTGCTGACAAATGAGAAGAGGAGCAGAAAAGAACAACAAACAAGGATAAGAAGATCAAAATACTTAGCTAAAAAATGTATTTGTTAGCTCAAGTGGCCCATGTAGGAAGTATAATTGGGTCTGTTGTATTAAAAAGTGGGTATTATTTATTTGTCAAAGAAAGAACACCCAAGTGACAATCAGTAGAAGTTTTGATATGAAGCAAGAGATGTTTCATCTAGACTTAATAAAAAGTATTCTTATGTTGATCATTATTTGGGATGATCACAGGAACCAGGTCCGACACAAAGGGCATGTTGGACATGCACCTTTTCTACTACAATCCTCGGGCATCCCTTGCCTTTTTGGTTTAGAAAAGAACATAAAAAAGTTCAACTTTTTGAGTTTTTTTTTTTTTTTTTTTTCTCATCCTATATAAGGGTGTCAATGGGTCGGTTTTGGGTTGGACCCCATCCAAATCAAAATCAATTTGGATGGATTGGACAGACCAAACAAGACATATTGAATTGGACCAGTCCAGACTTAATGGTCCAAAGTATTTATTGGATTGGATTGGATCTGGCCCATCCACAATGGATCTATATTGGATCGGATTGGATTGAACCAATATCCGGTCCAATGATAAAAGATAAGAATACAGGTGTCGACAGACCAGGTTTGAGTTGGAACCAATCTAAATTAAAACCAATTTGAACAGATTGGTCGGTCCAGACATTGAATTGGACCAGCCTAAAATGGTCCAAAGTATTCATTGGATGGATTGGACCAAGTCCATCTGTAATGGACTCATATTGGACTGGATAGGATTGGACCAAATCCAGTCCAATTGACACCCCTTCCTATATCCCTCAGATACATGCAGTAACAAGTTTTCTCCTCAAATTCTGTTCTCATCCAAGTTATAATATGAATTTCTTACCTTGATTCCAAGAGTATTGGTTCAGGTAAAGTGTCTTTCCATCTGCCTTAATATGAAAAGGACCTATTTCTTCTGCCTCCCCATAAGCAATTGAAGAACAGCCAGGCCCTACAGAAACAACTCCCAAGTCAGAAGCAGATAACTATCTTGAACAAATAGTAGACCGAAAAATAAAAAGGGAAAAGGAGAGGTTGCCAATTTCAGTAAAAAAAACAAAGCAGAGCTACTAGAACAAGCTTTTTGGTACTTCGAAACTAAATCTATGTTAACTCCTCAATCTCAGAACAAGAGAAGCAAAACTTTAACGAAAATTAGAACTGCAGAAAAGCAAAAAAAAAAAAAAAAGATGACAAAAGATTTCCCTAAATAGAAAAATGAAAAGGTTAAGAAAGAGAGAGGGGTATACAAAGAAGATAGAAGTTTGCATTCAAAATTGGATAAAAGATAGATATCAATGCAACCAGCAGGATAAAGTCAATTGACGAAATTCAACTTATTCACCAAGCTTCTGAGAAGAAATGAACATTTACAACCCTCCCTCTATCTCTCAACCACCCAATGGAACAAAAGATCAATTTTTATTCGAGTTCTTATTCAACCATCGAAAAGAAAAGAAAACCAAAATCATTCAATCACCAGCAAAAAAAATGATACAATGAAATAAAGCCCAATTAAACTTTACTATTCAAACCACATAAAATTCGGATATTACGACTAAACTATCAATTAAAAGTTAATACTGCTATTAACAACTAATTTAAATAATGATAACTAAAGAAAAAGGTTACAAAGAAAAAAAAAAGGATCAGAAGAGACTGACCTCCATTAAGCCAAAGAACCAAAGGCTTTGAAGAAGGGTCTTCAACAGCCTCGAAGAACCAATAGAAAAGTGCTCTCCCGGACGCCTCGTTGACTGTTACATAACCCGCGTAATGGGCAAAGCTTACGTTGAAGGTCTGACCGGGGAGCTCAAGAACCCTATCCAGCTGCTGTTGGGAGCTTGGGTCTGGAAATGAATCAAGAGCATAGCAGACACTCTGAAACCTAACAAGGAGAAGGAACAGATGAAGAACAAAAACACATCTCGAAATCTCCATCTTCTTACAGTTCAGAGGGAATCTAACCACTTGGGGCATTCGGGATTAATCAACCACCTGGGTTGATGGATCGAGTTGGAAATTGGAATCACGCCTACCTCATTTTCATTCTGCTGAGTCTGACACCAGCACTTGATTGTCCTTATACTCAACTCCTTTTTTTTTTTTTTTTTTTTTTTTGAGAATATAGAAAACAAACTTTGCGGGGCCCATTTGAACTTGCAAAAACTGGCATGGGCTCTGACCTCTGATTGGTAAGGGACTACAAGAAACAGAAAATTTGCCACGTGGAGAATAGATGAGAGGGTCAGGGAATCGAGACCCACCAGCCAGCTGAAGAATCCTGGAAACTAATTAACTAACTTGACCAAGACTTTCTCCAGACAAGCAGGCCAAGTGAGCAGAATCTCCAACGCTTGAATTACAAGTAGCATGGTAAGGACACTGGACACGGAAGGCTAATAAATAAATATTACATGTAGCAGCAGTTAGCCGATTCTCCAACCCTTGGAGTAAGGGAGGGGAAATTTTAGTCAAAGGTGTTCCCGTGGACCAATAATTATTCGGAGTTTGTTGATAATCACGGGTAAGTATATGTTTCCCACGTGAAATAAAATTATTCAAGTAAATTTCATAGGCTTTTGGGGATCTATCTTGGTTAGAATTAATTTGAAAACGAAGGTTTGCTTGTCCAGAAAAACAATTTTGGAGACGTAGGTTTTAATGGCTCCCTACTTTTCTATATTTTTGTACATTTGATTTTGATATTAGTAATTAGGGTTTATTCGTTTTCTTTTAATTCTTATCTCTTGAGAGGAATTTTTTAACTTTAAGAGAAAATTGGTTGTTTGTTTTCTCTTATTTCTTATCTCTTAAAATTCAATCATACAATTTTTTATTTTCCAATGATACCCCAAAAAAGACAAAAAAAAACTCTCATATATCGGGTCAAAATGGATATTTTATAGTTTTCAGAATTCATAACAACATTCTCTACATTCAAAGTTTAGAGGAAATAAAAGTTCACCAATATCAATATACCTCTAAATATAATTATTACATTTTTTGTTTTCCAATCATTCTCTGCTTTCATAAAACGCGTCTCATACCAACGAAGATGTTTCCTATGTACGGGCTATAAAGTCGGTGTGAGAACAAACCCGAACAGGTAAATTTAAGATGGCTATTCCTAGGGATGAGATGGGATCTATTCCAACAAAAACTATCCCAACTCAGTTTCAACATGATCTAAATCCACATATCTTATCGTGAAAGTGAGATCGGCTTTCATTAAGGCAAGCTTGTGCCGGCACTGCTTCAACCACCTTTTGCAATCTTGTATTGGGATTATCTCCCCATGAAATAAAGTAGCATGGAAATATTTTCAATGTAAGGCTGTAAAGACTGCTCGAATAGACTTTGCCTTGATGTTGAATATAATATATAAATACATGGGCTCGGATCTATTACCTATGAACTGTTTCCGCATCTCTCTTTCCACAAGTCATTACAGCTTTCCATCATGAAAAAGACTAAGGATGTTAAAACAATTTATGGGTAGCAGATCCTGAAATTGGATATACCAACACTTTGGAACTTGTTGGTATAGTTTTCTCTTGTGAGCGGATCTGGTTCCTTTCCCTCCGTGCAACAAATTGCCCAATAATAGATGGATGGGCCCCACATATTATGTATATTATTTTCTTCACCACTCATCTTAGGATAAGAATTCGCATCAGCGCCTTTACTACCGACAAAAATGCTTCTGTGGTAGCAATCATCCAAAATGGGAATCCAAAAGACCAAAAGGCTCCAAGGGACATCCGCATCAGCGCCTTACTACTTGACGTGGACGGTCAGATCATTTGGCCCATGAATCATTCAGATAACTAGTTCTGTTTTACCTTTAATTCCGTTCTTATTGAAAATTATTGATTTGATCAGCAATTCACTGACCTGGGTGGTCGAACCGTCGATTTATTTGACCTGTATAATGGTTTTAACTGTTTTATATTTTAATTATTTATTTTATTTTTTAAGTTGGAACGGATTGCCCACTTGAACCAGACAGTTGAATTGTCAACCAAATACCAATGGCTAGAATGGTTCTAGTTCTGGGCCAGTTTTTAAAACCTTGATAGTGGATGGCAAAGCAATTTTTGCCCATAACTATTAGTTACATATAGTAAATTTAACCATACCTATATTTTAACCTTGTGCATGTGCATGCCCTACTTATCAGTGTTTTAAAAACCAATCCAAAGGTTGAATCGTTTTGCCTCTTGGTTGTAGGTTACCAGTTTGTATGTATGTATTTATGTATAAAAAATTAGATTTTAGGCTAAAAAAAGGATTTTTTGGCAAAAATAATGGAGTGAGGCACTTTGATCTTTGCATAGATCTTAAAAATTAACCAAAATCGGTACAAAAATCATCCCAATAGGACAATTGAGCATAAAGTCCTTTGAAAGTTTGTGTAAATTTGTAATATGTAACCCATGACCTAGTACTGGTGAATAGGTCGGATGAGTCAACAGTTCAAGTGTTCAATTGCAATGGTTAAATAGGTTTTGACCAAATCAACAGATTTTTTGTCAAATTCTGGGTTTTAAGAAATTTGGACCTCAAATTGTGACCAGGTGACTGGTTTTAATGGTTACTGTTTGAGTAAGTAGTGGGTTTAAAACAACAGGCTAAAACAGAAAATCACTGCCAAGAAGTCATTTCATCTGATTCAAGGTGGAGTCATCATAGCAAATTAAAGGCTTTGATTTACTTGTTTCAGCGCAGGGCTACGACATTATCGTAGCAAAGATGGGTTGCTAATTTTTGGCACTAGGTGGTCACTCTTAAATTCAAACCATTGTTCTCACACTACTCCAAATAATGACCACTTAATCCAATGTTTAAATGCAAAACTCTTTACAATGACATCAAATATTGGCAAATTTTTGCTCTGTATGGATTATGATTTAAGTTCTTCCCCTTAAGGCTTAGTTTGGAAAGAGTACAAATATAAATATGTACAGTATACAAAATAATATAAAATACAAGGTTTTGCACTCTACATATTTATATTTGTGCTCCTTCCAAACTGAGCTTAATGCACTTTCTTACATTTAATATCATAATTTTGGTTTACAAAAAGACAAAAAAAAAACTAATAATAATAATAAAAAAGCTGAAGATTCAGCTAAGTTGGATTTAGCTGAATGGATTGGGTCTGGTTGATAGGGTGGATCAGTCCTGAACTGATTATTAATCCCTTCTATAAGACAGGCCTAGAACCAAATCAATTATTAATCAGTATAATCGGGTTTAATCCAATTAGACCCTATCATACTTGATCTCTATTATTACCTATGATAATAATAACTTAGAATTTTATTTTTTAAAAATGACGGTAAAATAGTTAAATGCCTACCTTTCTAACATAAAATATAAAAAAATTATAAGAAAATTAGAAAATGCATGAGTGTGTAAATGAAAAGAGTGTAAATTGTGATTTAATTTTGTTTTGAACTTTACTTTATTCTGTTTCTGATCTAATTTTACTTAATTTGTAGTGCAATCAATTAAATTAAGTAAAATTTAAAACAAAAATAAATCAAAATTTGCATCCATATTATTTGCACTATCATAATTTTGCATCACTGAAGTAGACAAATAGGCAACCCCTCAAATGATGATTGACTGACAGCTAATTTGATGTTACTGGTATTTTCACCAAACATAGCTTATAGTCGGTCTGTGTGGGGCCAACCTTGGAAAGCTGGAAGCCATTACACTCCAGCACTCCCAAATGGACACAATGTTTCCTTCCCTGTGATTGGTTGCAAAGAAAATGGGTCTTTTTCTTACCAAAGGCCCACTTAAGTATGACATGACATGACAATACAATAAAAGATTAAAAGGGCATACAGCAAAAGACTAAAAAGGGCACATTTCATGCAGCCGCTGGCTTTCCAAGGTGGGTCCTATATGGACAGCTTATAAGTTACGGTTGGTGACAATCAAAGCCCTTCAAAAGAAAGGCTTGAGATTTGAGAGAAGCCTGTGCAAATTTCCTATGCTAACTTTGATTGAGATATGATGGTAAGGCATTACAAGGACAACCAATTTTTTAAAGGCACCCAATCTTTCAGTACCTTGCGTTGCCATTGCGTGAAAGCAAGTTCTTCTAGTACCGGTCTTCCATGTGTTATAGTTATATATTGGTGGATCCCCCCAAAAGTCGTTACAACTTTTTCTCAGCTGTCAGTTTTTCTCTTACTTTCTATCAAACCAAACATAGCATAGGTGCATGCCAGAGCTATAGAGTAACAGTTAAGGCATCTTTGAATCATAACCAGAGACTACAGAGTAACAGTTAATGTCAATAGTTTCCCTGCACCGAAAGGATTGGCACAAGGCGTTAGGGAACATCTCTACTACTTGTATAGACATCACATTGGCGCCATACAGAAAGCGCCCCACAAACGCTCCACATGCACATCCAGCTTGCATTGGAAACATTTTTAGTACCTATTAAATGGAGATGTTCCCAATACACAGGTGGGGCGCTTCTGAGGCATTTGTGGGGAGCCAATTGATCTCATTTGTATATTGTCATGTGATCAAGTAGAAGGAGCTTGTCCTAGGAGTCCAACCAAAATTAAACACATCAAAAGTGGGTAATTGCTGATCGGCTATAAGGGTCTATTTGGTTTACAGTTGGAATCAGAATCGGAACCAACATCTTCTGGAATCAAATCAGAATTGAATAGTCCATTCCTATAGTATGTTTGGTTCGAATAGGAATGAAAATGAGAATTAGAATCAGCAAAAATGAGATTTTATACCCAAGGGAAGGGTAGGGAATGAGGGAATGCCATTCTAGCAGAAATGGGAATGGGATTCTGATTCCAACAAACCAAACAGTTGAAATTGGAATAGCCCATTCTGATTTGGATTCCAGACCCCTATTCCCTGTGAATCAAACAAGACCTAAAAAAATATCTTTTATAGTGGTGGCTATTGTAAAGAAGATCTGCAGCTTATGAAGGGGGTGGTGTTGCCCTAGTAGCTGCAATCGGTGAAGGAGAGGGAGAGAAGAACAAAAGGAGGATCGCCAAAACTGGAG